CCATGCTGGCTGGGGAATTCTGGGAGTTGAAGTCCACACATCTTCAAGCGGCCGAGGTTGACAAACACTGGGCTACTGAAACCATTTCCAGCTTCGAAATGTCCAGCCTCCCTTTAGCAATTCAGAAGAAAAGCACTAAGAGGCAGAACCGGGTCAGAGAAGGTCATGGCTGAGCTGGGTGTTCTAGCTTGAGCAAAGGAACCTTCATTAGTATTTTATTTATTTAAGAAAACATATGCGAGACTGCTCATGAAAAGTAGGGACGGGAAAGGAAATCCTCCCAATTCTACTTTTTATCAAGACAAATCCATGTATTGTCATTCCATCTATAAATAGCAATCAGTGGGTTTTATGAACTACGCAAACTGAAATGTCACCAATGAAGGCGAATATGTGTAGCTCGGGGTTGAACTGTGGAGTCCTTGGGGTTCTCTGAGCTTGGTTCTTCAATTCCCAGAATTCCCTAGCCAGCTGGGGAATTCTGGGAGTTGAAGTCCACACATCTTCAAGCGGCCAAGGTTGTCACCCTTACATAATTACATGCATTCTGGTCAGTACCACGGATTAAAATGGTCTACCTTACTTGGGGAAACATGGCCTTATTCCTGCTGGTGGTTGACAAATCCTAAACTGCAGCCACTTGCAACAGTCACTGAGCCTTTCCCAAAGAAATTTCCCCTCACCCGGCCCCTGTTAGGCCCCACCTTTTAGTCCTGACTGAGAGTCCCCTCCGTGTCCCCCAAACACTCCTTCCCCTGCCCATCCAGTAGCAGCTTCACTCACACAGAAAGCGCCTTTCTTCCAACGATGGCCTTTGAGTGTGCGATACAAGCGACCAGCAGAGAAGCCACCGAAGACCCTGTAAGGTGGGGAGGGGAAACAAGGCAGCAGGGTTACCTCCCATCCCTTTCCGGATACCCCGGAGGAACAGACGCAAGGCAGCAACGGCACTCACCCCATGAACATGAAGAGGAAGCAGGCCGTGGTCATCAAAGCCCCCCGGCTAGAGGGAGACAGCATCCCCAGCATGGCCACAACTGGAAAGCAAGAAGGGACGCGTCAGGGTCGAAAGGCTAGTGTACTAATACCTCTGGGCTCTAGAAAGCCATCAGCAGGCCAGGATCCGTTTTTCGGATTCCTTGCCCGCCCCCAAACCCCCTGCAGTTCAAACACACCATCTCTGCACGCAGAAGCTAGTATTTCAGAATATTTCTGAAAGGTTTGCCAGTCACTGAATGCGGAGCAATGCCATCGTCCCTGTAGCATTAAGGTGGAATGCCACAGCCTGCTCCAGAACTGGGCCCGGGAGTCCAAGGGAAAGGGATGGAAGTGGACACAGCAGCAGAGGCATCTTGAAGTGGATGGAAAAGGAGAAGGGCAGGACAAAAAGAGGTGCAGAAAAGGATATGAGAATTTAAGGTATGAGGAGGTCCTGCCTGAGTTTCAAGGCCCACTGAAAGGAGGACAGAGACTCTTGCCCTTCTGCCAACTCAAAACAAAAGCAGACAGATGCAACAGATGTTTCCCAAGAACCCTGGAACTGTGGGAGTCTACTCTTCCTGAGGGACCTCTCAAGGTACTGCTGTAAAATCACTAAGATGAAGAACAAAGAGGAGGGATTTGGAGACAGGCATGAAGAGAAAAGCAAAGGATGCGGAGGCCCAGAGTGGGGCCCGGGAACTAGGAAACCAGGCCAAAGGGGCATTGAAAAAGTAAGGACTGAGCTGGGATTTAGAGGGAAGACGTGAAGGGACACCATGCTGGTGTTCTGAGAAACAGTGCAAGTGAATCACAGGGCAATGGAGACCAGACAGGGCCTGCTGAATGAGCAGGAGTCGGGCAGACCATTGGCAGAGAGATGCATGTGGTTGGCCAGAGCTGGAGGGAGAAGCCATAGAAGGCTGTGAAACAAGACCAGGCTGACCAACTGCTGGTTCAGTACAGAAGTCTGTCCCTGCCCGGCTTCTGAGGTCCCCTCATCTTTCCACATCAGAAAATGCTCAGGCCTGCTAGGCAATACTCACAAATAACAATCAGGATCATACAGAAAAGTTGGATTCCAGAGCCCAGGAGGGAGCTGAGGATCATGGGATACTGAGGCGGCCTGAAGACATCACCATGCACCAGCTTCCACCCTGACTCCTCCATGGTGTCTTCCTGCAGGGGTTGAAGTTGGGCCGCAAGATGAGGGAGCAGGCTACGACAATCTCCCCCCCTCCCACACACCTTCTTTTGGAGGCCAGCCTGCCTGCATCTGAAACACCCCCTTTCTTGTAAGAAACAAGAACACATTGCTATGATACTCCTGAACCGGGATAGAACCTAATACGTTCATAAATTCCCAGCTGCTAAGGGCCTCTCTCCATCATGGTGCAGGTCATTAACATAAGGAATTCACTGCTACAAGACATGCTATTTCTACCTCAGGTGGCTTTAAACAAAAACCAGCCTCCTTCAGCTGCTGCCTCCAGGAGCTTGTCTCAAATGCAGGGGGTGCCTTGGCTTTTCTTATCCCCTTCGCCAGTTTTCAAGGCAGCCTCCCCCACCCCCACAAGCACCTTCAGAACCCAGAGAAGGATCCCCGTCCCTGCCCGAACACAAGCTTAGCGTACAATGTCGTCTTCCTTGTTGTAGTTGGCAATATCTTTCCGAAGAGTCCGGATGATGATCATGCTGAGAATGCCTGCAAAACAGAATTCCAGGAAGAAGTGGGTCTGAACCCCAGCCAAGCACCCGCATGTCAGCACTCCCCAGGTGTGGGGGGGGGAGGCAAGGGGGGGGGGAGGCGAAGGGGGGCGGGGAGGGGAGTTCCGGCGAGT